TTTCCCCTACTGCTGATAAAAAAGCTACCCTACCCACCTTACTAACCAGCATAACATCAGCATGAAACCAGATGTGAGCTCCAAATCTTTGTAGTCCCCTTATTCAATAACGAAAGCAGAGCCAAAAGCTTTCCTTCACAGTACAAATGCAGAGCTTAAGCACTATGACAGTCCACCTGCCAAACTGCAACAAACCAGTCTCGGTGTTGTTCTTAAGTTTGTTTTTTTTCAAGATAGAGTCAAGTGTGCAAGACAAATGGATATGTGCACACAACTTCCGCTGTATAGCACCTAGCATTGCATTCTCAAAATTCTTCAAACTTTAAGCAAACTGGGTTTAAATTTGATTAATGTCAAGCTGAATTTCCATTTCAATACCCTGCTGCTAACACATTACAGCAGAATGCCTGAGATGTCTGTAAAGATAGCGTAGATAACTGCTCTGCAGCTGAATAAGTTTTCACGATTCATGTTACTCCTCAAACAATGGCTCCCAGAGACATTCCTTAGTACACACTAAAAAAAGTGTGATGCTAAGAGAGCAGGATAATTTATCAGTTCCTTCTGCAATCAAGTCTGTTTCACAACTGATAAACAAGTTGAGAAAGGTACTGCTCTCTGCATGGTCCTCAGAGTGCATTTTCCAGAGTATCTTCAGCTCTACAACTGTATGACCCCATCCCTTAAGGGAACCTACTTTGCCTTGAAGCCATGTCATAACTGTCACTAAAAGCAGTAGCCTGCTTCTTCAGCAGCTAAGCCAGAGCTGTTTCACATAATGCATGCAGGCAAGTGTGTAAGATCATGCATTAGTATTGGCTCCACATGCCTACAGCACAATGCAAGACCTGCGCTCCTTCTTGGTTTACTGCATTATTTAGTGAAGGTACTTTGTCTTGGTATTCCAAAGGGCATCAAACTTCAGAAGATTATTATCTGCTATTGTACATCTTCTCTGTATAATGTGCAAAAAGCACAAACAGAAGGAAGCTATTGAGACATTTCACATCATATTGGCTACCCATCAGGCACTAGGCAATCACAAATCCTGGACAGAGTACAAGCAAGAACAACATGAGCAATTCTACCTGCTGAATATTCCATGTAAATTCATGGTCAAAGCAAAAATTTGAAACAGCAGCTTATTGAGTTCTGTTAATGTTTGTTCTAGTAGCCTTACTGGTGCAATAAAGCAGTAACCCACTTGTTAGACAGAGTAAAGCCGTAACAACCTTTTGCATGGGAACTGTATTCAAAGAGTGTCAAAAATCAGAACATCAGCTCTTGTGTTCTCTATTTCTGTCTCTCATTTCTTTTTCCATTTGGGAATACTCCAGAATGCGCTAATAGCATGGTTTTGTAAAGCTATTGCTATTTGGTCATGAGCTGTCAAACAAGTAGCTTGCCTTGTGCTAGGAGGCACACTCCAGCCAGCTTAGAGCAGGTGTAGAAGCCACAGCCAGCAGCTCACTCTAAGCCTGACATCACCTTGTTTGTCCAGTAACCTCTAACAGAAGTAGCCTTCTGCTTGCAAGCTCTGATCACATATTATTTCAGTCTTTACTGTATTACTATGTAAAATACGCAACAACTGACTGCTGCTACTGTTGAGACTTTCTCATCCAGGCTTTCAGAGTGAGAACAGTCAACCTTTCCCAAAATAGCATACAGTGATATTAGACTAAGCCTGCCACTAAGGGGATCCCAAAATAACTCCACAGTCCTTAGTTACTCTATTTCAAGCTAGAATCACCAGAAAAGGCTTGCTAAGACTGCCTAGTACATTGTGACTTACAAACATCACATCACTTTGACCAAATGCTATAGGGAAGCTACAACCGAGGCTAAATGAAACCACAGCTGAGCTTGGAGTACCAGCTATAAGTTTACACTTACAACAAGCCATTCCAATAAGATATCATTGCTTCTGCAGTTGATACCAAGCGAAATGTCAGAGCAACTACTTTTGTTAGCCCACAAACATGTAAAAAAACTGACAACACCTAACACCCACACAGGTGTACAAAGGTAAAGGTCAGCATCTGCTGCTGCTCCTGAGGATGTCTGTCAAACTCTAAAGGCCACTTGGAATGAGCTCCAGTTAAGATGAAGATTGGTTCCAGACGTAGCAGGTCCCCGTCTTTCATCAAGCATAGTTTTGCAATGTCAGGTAACCATTTAGTCATGACACTATCAGTCTAATCCACTGCTATTTGAAGCAACAGAATCATACCTCAGTTGCAGCTTCAGTCACTAGATACAATGTTTTTTAGATCAGCATCAATTAACCATTAATTCAAAGCTTCTCTTTATGTGCTACTCATACACCAGAAGCCCTTCACACATTTTCTCCTCCTTAGAATATGGCTTAGTAAAAAGAAGTGTAGAGAACCAGTAACATCACTGTGAGAGAACCTGTGATTGCTAACATGTATTATTTTACTGTTCCCCAGGTAACTACTTACTAGAAGTTGGCTCATAAGCAGAAATGAGTGCAGGGTGAAGAAGCATAGTAACACCGACTACCCAAGTTAAACTACCTTTCTCCATATCTCTGCTATCACTGTTAGTCTCAGCCCCTTAAGCAAGCTGTCAGCTTACTTGTCTGGGCAGTCTCAAACATGTGACACTTGTGTACTGTCATATGACACCAAGTCCCAGAAAAGCTTGCAACAGTGATTGGGAAACCTTGTGAGAGCATGAACTAGCTGAGACTTTTCCCAGACCCTGGTAACTGTAACTAGTAGTAGAAGAGAGCTGATGGGGTCACTGACCCAAATTGAAAGAAGAGTCTCACTAACTTAGCAGAGTTGCACAGTGGAAGGTATCTCTTATGATCTCTTATGATCACCTCTTATGATCATTTCCAAGCACACTGCACTAGCGGTTTCTGTGCCAGACAGCTTGGCCCTTCATACTCCAGCAGTTTAATCATGTCTGTTGTAGACTGGGCACGGGAGCCCATAACTGGGAATTGAGGGTCGACTAGGGCAGACATTTCTTCTCTTCCTCTTTATATGAGGACTGGATACAACAATGCCCTGGCTGGGCTCTGCCCAACAGACCTGGTGTGTGTCCTACTGCGCAAGTTAAGACTATGAGGTCCGGCTACCTCTAAGCATACTTTGCCAACAAAGCCAAGATTTGTCACTTAGGCCTACTTTAGGGCAATAGTGAGGAGATTTATGAGCCATATTACAATGAAGACATCAACTGCCCACCTCCCACCTGGGAGTAGCCTGGACCCCAGCGCCCAAAGGAAGAAAGGAGTCAGCCAAATGATTATTACTTCCACTCAAGGGGAAAATATTTTCAAATGACCATCAGTAGCCCCTGTGCATGACCACCACCAAAGGGGAAACAGCTACTACGCCGGGAGGCAGCCCTGGAGCAGGCCACGAGCAGCGCTGCTGGCGAGCGCCCAGCATCGGGAGAAGGGACTCGGCGCTGGCAGGGCTCAGCCTTGCCACCAGGTGGAGATGCCTCATGGTGGTTTTACCCCGGGCCCTGATCTAGAGCCATGCCAACACCGCTGGATAACACAAAGCCGAAGTTGCACCGTAGTTTGACAGCACCTTATCGCCGCATGCTTCCCAAGCGCTCCACAGCAGAGCTCCCATCCTGCCCGGACCTCTGCCGTAGCCCCCAACCACGCACACCCTCCCCTCAGCACGGAGCAGGAAATTAGGCGCCCCCATGGCCCCCAGGTCGCTCCCGGGAGATGTGCAGCCCGGGGCACGGGGGCTCGGCGCCGCCCGGGGCCCGGCGCGGAAGGCGGCGCCTCCCCCGACACGAGGGGCGAGGGGGCAGCCGCGGCTCCGCTGCACACCCGCGGGCCCGGGCCCGCCCCGCGCCCCTCCACGGAGCCCCACTCCCCGCGGTGCAGCGGGCACGCAACCCGAGAAAACAGGGGAAAAAATAATGGAGAGAAAGAAAAAGAAAGGGTGGCGGGAGAAGAAATCATCGCAGGGGGCGGCGGCTGGAGCTGCCCCGGCGGTCCGCGCCCCATCCCGCTGCCTCGGCCCCGGACTCACCGTCGGCGGCGGCGGACAGGCAGCCGACGGCGAGCAGCAGGAGCAGCGCCCAGCAGCGCGGGACCGCCCGCCGCTCCGTGCCGCGCCCGGCGCCGTCGGCCGCGGAGCTCGGGTCTCCGCGCTGCCAGTCCAGCCGCATCGCCGCGCCGAGGACGGGGAGAGGGCGGGCGGGCAGGCAGGCACCGCGGTCGGAGAGGCGACGAAGAGAGGCGGCAGCCGGAGACATGCACAGAGGGGGTGGGGTGTCCCCGCGGCGCTCTTATAACGCCGCCCGGCCGCCCTGCGCGGCCGCTGGTGACTCACGGCGCCGCGCCGGGCGCCGGTTGGCTCGGCAGCGCCGCCCGCCCCCGCTTCCTCCTCCGCGGCACCTGCGGCGGC